TGTGAAGCACCTAGGTGGTGCAATAGATAGAGCACCAGGCCTGGAATCAGGAAGAACTGAATTCAAATCCAGCCTTAGACACTTACTAGCTGTGTGACCCTGGACAAGTCATTTAACCTGTTTGCCTTAGTTTTCCTCTCTCTGTAAAATGGGGATAGTAATAGGATCTACCTCCCAGGCTTATTATGAGGATTAAATGAGATAACTTTAAAATGCTTAGCACAATGCATGGCACCTAGTGGACACTACATAAATGTTAGCTATTGCTATTGCTGTTATTATTGCTATTATTATCACAAGCATTGCCTCAGAGAAAAACAGCTTAGGTACAAACTCAACTCGAATTCCTGGAAGAGATGAAGTAAGATGTTTTTGTAAATGAAATTACAGTGCTTGACATAAAAACTGGAAAATGCAATGGAAGACGGAATTGAAAAGGGAATTAAAAGCTTGGCACAAGAAGTACAAAACCTTGCCTGAGTAACAAACTCCCTGAAAATTCAAATGGAACAAATAAAAGCCAACTGACTCCATGTCACAACAAGAAATGTTAAAATGAAGTCCAAAAAAAAGGCTGAAAAAGTAGAAGAAAATATAAGGGATCTCATAGCAAAAACAACTGACCTGGGAAACAGATCAAAGAGAAAAAAAAATAAAAATCATTGGACTATCTGAACTCCATGAAAAAAAGAAAAAAAAGAGCCTAGACATCATTTTCAAAAATCCTTTAGAGAAAAAAAAAAGTGCCCAGATCTCTTTAGAACCAGAGGGTAAAGTAGAAGCAGAAAGAATCTACTAGTCACCTCCTGAAATAAACCACAGAAAGTAAACTCCCAAAAATCTAACAGCCAAAATCCTGGTCAAAGCAAAACTACCTCTTCCAGGTCAAAGAAAAAATACTGCAAACAACCAGAAAGAAAGCATTGAAGTACTGAGGAGCCACGGTCAAGACAATACACAATTTAGCAGCCACTATTATAAAGAACAGAGAACTGGAATACGATATTCCAGAAGGCAAAGGATATATAGGCTTACAGCCAAGAACAACTTACTCAGCAAAACTGAACATAATGGGTAAAAAGGGTAAAAAGTAGACTTTAATAAAGAGGACCTCCAGCATTCCTGATGAGCACACCAGAGGTGCAGAGAAGTACAAACACAGGAGTAGAGAGAAACATAAAAAAAGTAAACTCCTATGAACAATGAATGATAAAAGGACTAAAGAAGGATAAAGTGCTTACATCCAAATATGGACACGTATCCATTCAGAACCTCAACGTCATCAAGGTTCACACAGGGAGTCCAACTAGAGATGGCCTGGGAGTGGTTCTGTTACGTCTTGAAGATCTTGAGAAAAGAATGGAAAAGAGAGGGGAAGAGGAATGCTCTGAGAGGGTGGGGGTAAGGAAAGGAAGACTAGGAAATTACCTCACATAACCAAGGTATATACACAAGTCAACATCTATGAAAATAAGGAGGTAGGAGTGAGGGGGGAGAAGCTGATAACCTGAACCTCACTCTCATCTGAACTGGTTTTCAAAAGAAGTATATGTACACACACACACACACACACACACACACACACACACATACACACACAGAGCACTGAATACAGAAATACTTTCACTCAACAGGAAGAAGAGAGGAGGAATTAAAGAGGATTGATTAAGGAAGAGATTCCTCCTATGCAAAACAAAATCTAAGGATGTATAAAAATATCTATAGCTCTTTTGGGAATGGCAAAGAATGAGAATCTGAGGGGGTACCCACAAATTGGGGAGTGGACAAGCAAGTTATGGTATATAAATGTGACAAGATACTATTGTGCCAAACTCTTATCAGTGTAATGACCAACCAGAATTCCAGAGGAATAATGATGAAACAAGCTATTCACCTCCTGATAAAGAGAGGAAAGACTCAGAATGCAGAATGCAACAAGTATTTTTAGAATATGGTCAATGTAGAAATTTGTTTTGATTACATGGTAATGGGTTTTATTTTTCCTATGTTCTCAATGGGAAGGAGGGGGAGGGGAAGGAGGGGGAGAGGCGGGAGTGGGGAGGTATAGAGTGGGAGAGTGAGAAAGGTTGGCTGCTTAATATCAATCCTTGAGGGGAATGATCCAGGAAGGAACTGAGTAGTGCTATTCTGGAATGTTAACTCCAAACTGTGTTGACATATCATTTCCTTATTCAAGATCCCTAAAAATATTACCTCACTTGGTAGAGAGATACATCTGAGAGCATGGCCACCTTGCTGGTTTGGACAGCTCTCTCTCTACCCTAGAAATGGCTTGAAGCCCTTCATAATCTGACCCCCACCTGCCTCTCCAGCCTTCTTACACTTCATTCCCCTCTACATAATCTTTGATCTAGTGACACTGGCCTCATCTACATTCCTCAAGGAAGAAAACACTCCGTCTCCAACTTTATACACTTTCATTGGCTGTCTCCTCCATGCCTGGAATGTTTTCTCTCCACATCTCCTCCTGAATTCCTTGGCTTCCTTTGAGTCTTAGCTCAAATGCTAGCTTCTATACGAAGTCTTTTCCAGTGCCCCAAAATACTAATGTGTTCCCAATCCCCTACATATCTCCAGAATATAGTGGTTAACATTAGAATGTGCTCTCCTCAAGGGCTTTGCCTTTCTTTGTAACGTAGTGCCCGGAGCATCACAGGTGCTAAATGAGTGCTAGTGGAGGTGTTCTTTGGCTTAGCTACAGAACAATGTGAAAAGTAATAAAACATTTTCTGGCTAGAAGAAAAAAAAAGCCATGAATAACTGAAAGAAGCATGGGGAGAGTCACAGGAACTAATGCAAAGTGAAGTAAACAGAATCAAGAAAACAACATACACAATGACAATGATGTAAATGGAGGTAGAGGGCAGCTGAATGATCTGAAATTACAATGGCCAAACTGGTCCCTAAGAAACAAAAAAATGCACCTTCCTCCCTTATTTGCAAAGGGTGGAGGTGCCCCGAGGGTAGGGAATCATGAATATACAGTCAAACTCAGGGGACAAGGTTATTAGTTTTACTTAACTGTTTTTTTTTCCTCTTTAGTCTTTATTCTTTACAACAAAGGTATGGGTCTGGGGAGGGACACTTTTGAGAATGAAAGTAATGTAAAAACAAAGGCCATACATAGTGTGATGACTGACTTTGATGGACTCAGCTCTTCTCAGCAATACGAGGATCTAAGACAACTCCAAAAGACCCATGATGGAGAGCGCTCTCCACATCCAGAGAAAGAACTGGGGCGTCTGAATGCAGATGGAAGCAGACTGTTTGCTCTGTCACTTTTTTGTTTTGTTTTGTTTCTCCTTTCTCGTGATTCCTCCCATTCATTCTAATTCTTCTTTATAACATCACTAATGTGAGAATATGTTTAATAAGAATGTACATGTAGAGCCTGTATCAGATTGCACACTGTCTTGGGGAGGGGAGAGGAGAGGGAGGCAGAGAAAATTTAAAACTCAAAAGCTCGTAGAAGTGAATGTTGAAAACTAAAAGTAAATTCATTTAAAAAAATGTTTTAAAGGCAGTAACAAAAAAAAACTTTTTAAAAATTCTGTATCTGTAGTATCAGGGCTTAGCAGAGGCAGAAAACAATGTACAGATAATGAACTACAAAAACTAGGTAAGCCAGATTTCAATGTCTACAAGTTCATATGCATTAAAGTGAAATAGCAAAAGAAGCAAGTAATTAAAATTTTTAAAATAATTTATTTTTTGGAGGCAGTTAGGTGGCACAGTGGATACAGCACTGGCCTTAGAGTCGGGAGGACCTGAGTTCAAGTCCAGTCTCAGACCAGACACTTAACACTTACTACCTGTGTGACCCTGGGCAAATTACTTAACCCCAATTGCCTCACCCCAACCCCCCCAAAAAATATTATTTTTTGCTTCATCTCTTTAAAAAAAATTATCTTTTGTTTTTATATCACCTTCGTGTTCAAGTATCTTTCCTCCCTTACCCAGCAACTAATCCCTTGTATCCAAGAGTTATTTTTTAAAGGGAAATATAAATATAAAATAGTTTCGCAAAACGAACCGTCACCTGTCATGACAGTTTACACATAGTTCCAAGATCACAGCCCTCTATCCCTTTAGAGAAGAGAGGAAAGTATAATTTTTTAATCTCTTCTTCAGGGCCAAGCTTGGCTACTATAATTACATAGCATTCAGTTTCAGGGGTTTGGGGTTCTTTCCATTTACATTCTTGAAGTCAATATGCATACTGATTTCTTGATTCTCCTTACTTCATTCTGTATGCATTCATATAAATCTTCATATGCTTCTCTGGATTCTTCACATGCAACTTTTCTTATGAGACCTCTGGGTCAAAGGGCATCAACCACTTCTGTCACTGTCTTTCCATAATACAAATTGTTTTCAAAATGGCTGAACCAGGGAACAGCTGTATTAATGTATTTGTTTATGTGCACCACTGATGTCCCACTGCAACACTGACTATTCCCATCTTAAATTACCTTTATCAATTCCAAAAAAGCAGAATTGAGTCTAACTCATTAGAAACTATTCTTATCTATCTGCTCAAGTGTAGGATTTCCTGGAATTCATGCTGCTCTCTATCTGAATATTAGTCTCCTACACTACTCCCTAGCTAAAATCTATTAACCATAAAGACACTCAAAATTAGCAAGATTTCTCCTCTTCAGACAGATTGGTGGTTCTTTGCTATTCTGATGCCAGTCCATGACCCAAAATGATTGCAAGGTACAAAAATAATTACATATTTTCAAACATCCTAACCATGAACCTATGTACTGATAAGTATCAGAAAAGCACAAAACCAGGTGAGGCTTGAAATAAAAAGTCAAAAGCAATTAAAAAGTGCTTATTAAGCTATAACTAAAAGAGGAAAACCAATCATGAAGAAAGTGACCAACTGCCTGGAGAAGACAGTAGAATATTAAGATGTCACTGAGGGGGAAAAAAGCAATCACTCAGGTATTATTTCACTTCCGTTTTCTTAGAACAAATGCCAATTTATTTATTGACGAACAACGTAAAACGAAAAATGAGACACAAGAGGAGATATGATAACTAGCCACAAGACCACATGAAATGCATCCCAGGATTTACCTTGCAAAGGTAATCTTAAAGCTACTGTTGGTAAATTTTTAGAAATTATGGAGAATGGGGAAAGTATCAGAAGGCTAGAAATGAGCAATTACCAAAATATTCAAAAAGAGAAAAATGGGATTTTTTTGAAATATAGTGAGTAAGGTCAATATCAAGACCCTGTAAAATTCCAGAAGTGTTTATTAAACAGATACTTTGTAAACATTTAGAAAAGAAGGTAATGTCTTCAGCTGAGAACACTGCCTTGGTTGGTATGTTAGAGGAAAGACGAGGTTTGGAAGAGTGGAAAAGAATTAATTAAGGAGGAATAAAAGAACTGCCTTGCTACAATGAGGGCCCACTTGAGATTAGACAACATAAATCTGTAGGAGACCCAGTAAGGGCAATTTCATGATTTCTTCTAAATCCACCCAGTAGCACACTAAGCAGGAAAGTAGGAGAATAGTGACGGTAATCCACAGGCAGAGTTTGGGAAGCTGTGCTCAGCAACAGGCCGAAAGAACTAAGAGCTGAGCGCAGAGAACAATGTTGGGTTGGCCTGGTTCATCAAAGGGTTGAGACTGCGGAGGAGAGAGAGCGCAGCCAGAACAAGTAAAGTTCTGAAGGGTAGAAGGGAGGAGGTTACCGTAAAGATGAAGAGCACATTCAGACACAGTACGACACCGGAAGAAACAGAACTGTAAAAGATAAAGACTGGATAAAGGAACTTAATGTTCCTAAACATGGAAACAGAAAAACTTAAGGGTGACAACAGAATGAAGGATAGGACCATCCCAGGGTACAGCTAAGGAGAAGTGGAAGAGTTTAAAAAAAAAAAAGAATGCAGTGATCACAAACAAGTTATATCCTTTTCTGATAAGATTACTACATTCAAGAGAAGACCAAAGACACACAGTATCTTTGTGAATGACATGGTGTACTAAGTTAATATAAAATAGACCTCATTCCACTTTTGCAGTATGGGGGCAGAATGGCAAAAAAAGGGAGGCCCAAGAAGGGTGTAAGACTCAGGGGTGGGCAACCTGGGGCCAGGTTGCCCACCCCTGTTATAAGTATTAAGCCTCACAAAAGGCTTTAGATTTATAAATATTAACATAATTACTGACATTCTAAATATAAGATCATTGTTCAATAATCTAATTACTACTAGAGGAAATGAATAATATCAATATTGACATTCTCACTATAAATGAAACCACAAGATACACAGAAACTTTATCTAAATAGAACAATGGCTAATTGGTTAACCCCGAAGAAGCCAATAATGGAACGCCTGGAGTCACTTCCATCGCGTGCCTAAAGGCAACAAGAATCATTTGCATAAGGCACCTGCTCCTTTTACCCTACAGTGCTCATGAAGACCACTATGAAAAAATGAATCCTTACATGCCAACATCTGTTATAGAGGATTGGGAAATAAAGAAATTCTAGTAAGAACTTAATAAGATTCTTCAAACCATAGTAAGTAAATGAATACAAAAGGAGACGGGTCCAGAACTGATTCAGTTGTCAAGGAAAAATGTTTCAGAAACAGAATATGTCCACAGATTTGTTTCTCAACCTCATATTTTACCAATGAAATTGCATCCATCTCTCTGCCCATTGTCCCTATTATCCTTGTCCTGCCTGTCCCTGCTGAAAGTACACTTATCCCATCATGACACTACAAGCAAATCGTGCTTCAGTAACTATCAACACAGATATCTTGGATACTATAACATATGTCAACGGCACAGATGCAGATTATGAAGAAATCAGGTTTCAAAGGGGGAAATTCAGAGCTCAGGTTTAGTATTTCAAAGGGCACAGTTAACCCATACAGTGCAGATGACTCAAGTATTTTCATTACAAAAATAACTGCAAAAAAAAGAAGCTACACAGGATGGAAAGACTATGGTATGTTTACTCTCCATGAAGTCCTGAATCCAGCTCTACTTTTGTAATGCAAGAAACCACATCTAATTTTATGTTCCCATTTTTCTTAAAGCAAATCTGGTAAGGTGCAATTAGGAAAAAACTTAAAATTAAGAAGGGCTATTAACACAAAAAGTTGGCTCTTTTTCTCTTTCTTTGTAGTGAATATAATTTAAATTGTAACTAGGTTCTAAGTCAGTGAGCCTATGAATCACACAGGACAAAACAAGAAGATGAAGAATAACCACTATACAAATGGACACATGAAGTCAGAAGCCTTTCCTTTGCACACTGCTGGTATCTGTAGGCCTTTCACTTTCTTGACAGCAGTAATATCTTTGTACCATTTTTTTCTCAATATTAAAACCAGTATTTATGTCTAGCTATCAAATAACTTTTATTTTGTTATGCTGTAGTTAAGGTCTCTGTCAGTATCTTTACAGGATCAATCAGTATCACCTTTCCTTTAGCAATGGATAACATCCCTCAAGGGAAAAATGTTATTGTACCTTAAAATATGTGATGAGTTTTTCAAACTATAGTTGTTTTAATTACAAGTTGTAATTTAGTTACAATAGAGAGGGGGGCAGAGCCAAGATGGCAGAGTGAAAGTAGTGACTTGCTTGCGCTCTCCCCCAAACACCTCTAAATACTCATAAAAAATGGCTCTAAACAAATTCTGAAGCAGCAGAACCCACAAAAAGACACAGTGAAACAAATTTCCAGCCCAAGACAACCTAGATGATTGGTCAGATAGGTGTATCATGCAGGGCTGGGAATGCAGCGAGGCGTGGGCGCTCAGGCCACAGAGAACCTGGAGCAGGCCTCAGAGGACCGAATCGCAGGCAGCTGTGGAGGTTTTCAGACTCCTCAATCCACCAATGCCAAAGACAACTTAGAAGGTCAGTGAGAAAAGTCTGTTTCTGTCGGTGCTGAGAAAGGAAGGTGGGGTCTCAGCTCCATTTCCCAAGCGCGTGGCCCTGGAGGGGGGCAGCTGCTTCCTGAGCTTCCGCCCCACAGACTGAGGCAGAATCCAATGGCTGATCAGAGAGGGATTGCATGGATCTCTTTGCCAGTGCTAAGGCAGGAATCTCTTGCTTTGCCCGTATTTCGATCTGGGCCACAGTTCTGGGTGGCAGTGCTGGGGTGAGGAGAAGCACTGGTGTGGAGGAGTTTGCAGTGGCTGTGGACAGGAACCCCTCCTCACAGTTACAGGACAGAAAGGAGTACCTGTAGTCACAGGCCAGGAAAGGAGTAACCACCTCACCCCTTATCATACCGCCTTGCAAGAACTGAAAATTTACAGGTCCTTACAAGGATCTCTGAAAACAGATGTACAAACCCCCCAAAGCTTGGGACAGTACATTCTCCACATGGGAAGCAGATTCATACCTTAACAAAGAGTTTAAAACTCAAGTAATTGGCTGGGATCATGAGCAAGCAGCGCAAAAAGAGTCAGACTATATTATCTTACTTTGGTGAAAAAGATCAAAATGTACAACCAGAAGAAGACAACAAAGTCAGAGCTCCTACATCCAAAGCCTCCAAGAAAAATATGAATCAGTCCCAGGCCCTGGAAGAACTCAAAAGGGATTCTGAGAAGCAAGTAAGAGAAGTAGAGGAAAAACTGGGAAGAGAAATGAGAGTGATGCAAGAAAATCATGAAAAACAAGTCAACAGCTTGCTAAAGGAGACCCAAAAAAATACTGAAGAAAATAACACCTTAAAAAAAAGCCTAACCCAAATGGCAAAAGAGGTCCAAAAAGCCAATGAGGAGAAAAATGCCCTAAAAAGAAAAATTGGCCAAATGGAAAAGGAAGTCCAAAAGATTACTGAAGAAAATACTTCCTTAAAAATTAGAATAGAGCAATTGGAAGATAGTGACTTTATAAGAAATCAAGACACTGTAAAACAAATCCAAAAGAATGAAAAATTAGAAAACAATGTGAAATATCTCATTGGAAAAACAACTGACCTGGAAAATAGATCCAGGAGAGAGAATTTAAAAATTATTGGACTATCTGAAAGCCATGATCAAAAAAAGAGCCTAGACATCATCTTTCAAGAAATTATCAAGGAAAACTGCCCTGATATAGTAGAACCAGAGGGCAAAATAGAAATTGAAAGAATCCACAGATCTCCTCCTGAAAGAGATCCCCAAAGGAAAACTCCTAGGAATATTGTAGCCAAATTCCAGAGTTCCCAGGTCAAGGAGAAAATATTACAAGCTGCCAGAAGGAAACAGTTCAAGTACTGTGGAAACACAATCAGGATAACACAAGATTTAGCAGCTTCTACATTAAAGGAGAGCAGGGCATGGAATATAATATTCCGGAGGGCAAAGGAGATAGGATTACAACCAAGAATCACCTACCCAGCAAAACTGAGTATAATCCTTCAGGGAAAAAATGGTCATTCAGTGAAATAGAGGACTTTCAAGCATTCTTGATGAAAAGACCAGAGCTGAATAGAAAATTTGACTTTCAAATACAGGACTCAAGTGGAACATGAAGAGGTAAACAGGAAAGAGAAATCATAAGAGACTTATTAAGATTGAACTGTTTACATTCCTGCATGGAAAGATGATATTTATAACTCATGAGACTTTGTCAGTATTAGGGTAGTTGAAGGAAAAAAATTATGTATGTATATATAGATAGATAGATAGAGGGCACAGGGTGAGTTGAAGATTAAGGGGTCATATCTGGAGAATAAAATTAAGGGATGAGAGAGGATTATACTCAGAGAAGAAGAAAGGGAGAGGTAGAATGGGGTAAATTATCTCACAAAAAAAAACAGAAAAGAAAAGTCTCTTACAGTGGAGGGGAAACAGGGGAAGGTGAGAGGGAATGATGAATCTTATTCTCATAGGATTTGGCTTAAGGAGGGAATAACATAGACATTCAATTGGGTATGGAAATCTGTCTTAGCCTACAGAAAAATAGGGGGAGAAGGGGACAAGAGAGCAGGGGGATGACAGAGAGGAGGGCAGATTGGGAAAGGGGTAATCAGAAGGAAATACTTCTGAGGAGGGACAGGGTCAAAAGAAAGAATAGAATAAATGGGAGGGCAGGATAGGATTAAGGGAAATAGAG